CTGAGGCTGCAGGATCTGGTGGACAAGCTGCAAATGAAAGTGAAATCTTACAAGAGACAATCTGAGGAGGCCGTAAGTATCTCTCTGAGTGCTTGGCAAGAATCACTTTCCCAGAGATAGATACAAGAAATTTGGAAGATGCCACTCATCAGTAATGGAGTTCTCCTAATTCTCTGAAAGGATCATAAATCAGCCTTGCCAATGAATCACTAAGAAGACTTCTAAGGAGGGCAAATGCACCTAGCATTATTTGCATTAGAACCACAGAGCAACCTATAAGGAGTCTAATATCAGTAACACAGTGTATTAAGAAATTTTGCAAAAGAATTATTTTTAGTGTTTTTATAGCAGACAGGGAAGGTATTGGAATTCCCCTCCCAAATACCTTTGTGTAATGCTTTTATAATTGTACAAGGAACCTTTGTCTGTTTCCAGGCATGCAGCAGTCAGGGATGCCCTGAGACAAGTCCTACAGCCCCTGAATTTCAGATTGCCTCTGCATGGTTTCTTCATTGCAGAAACAGTCCAGCACAGTATAGGGCTTCTGATTCAGTTAAGGCAATTTATGAGAGGAGCCCTCTTGTAATCATTTTCTCTCATAAATTCCTAACCCCACTTAAGGATCTGCAGATGTAATTGAATATTTGGTTCTGCACTAAAAGAATCACATTTCCAGCTGCCCATCTTGCTTCCTTCCCACATTCCAGAGCAGAATTATGTTTAAATCCCATTATGCTCCTTCTACAAGGGATATTCCTCAAAGGCAAGTATGAGGAATGTGTGAGGATGATGACATGTAAGAAGTGGAAGAAATGGGATGGAGATTTGTTCCTTCCCCCAAGGGAAAAGCTGCAGCTCAACAAAGCCAAGGTGCAAGAGGAATGAAGCCCCTGCCCTGGGCTCCTCACCACTGACTCCCTTTCCCCACACAGGAGGAGCTGTCCAATGTGAACCTGTCCAAGTTCCGCAAGATCCAGCACGAGCTGGAGGAGGCCGAGGAGCGGGCTGACATTGCAGAGTCACAGGTCAACAAGCTCCGAGCCAAGAGCCGCGAGTTCCATAGGAGGATAGAAGAGGAAGAGTGAGCATGTCACCAGGCAGCAAAGTGACCTGAGGGCTGCACAAAATGTGCACCTCTTGGTCACTTTTCTTCTGCCATGAGCCTCAGTACCCACATCAGTGTCTAGTGAATAAAGACTGTAGTAGAATCCTCTGCATACACACTATGTCCAGTGGTTTCGTTCTTTGGGTATGTTCTTCTTTGGGTTTTGTTTTCCTTGGACAATTGCACTGCAGAAGACGTTTCCTTACTTCTCTCTGGGACAAGGGAGAAGCAGGGGTCAGTGCTGGATTGAGGATCTGCAAACTTAGAGTCTGGCCATTGCTGTGGAGACTCCTGAAAAATCCAGCCTGTGCTCTGTCCTGTCTCCAGCAGCTCCTTGTTTAGCTCCTGCCTAATGCTTCTCCCATTGTCCTTTCAGCACAGCTTCTTTCCCATGTGGGAGTCAGGAGAGGGTGATCCTTTTGCTTTTTCTTTTCCCACTCTTGTTTGTGATGCTGGCCCTCATAAACCCTAAACATTAATCTCTGAGAGAGTTATCAGAAGCTCCAGCACACTGCACTGTGAAGGACTGATAGTTTCTTGACAGAGATTATTTCAGTCACAAAGAGCACAGTTACAAGACACCAATAGTGTCCCTACATTGTGCCATCTCCCTCATCCTAGATTTCCTCAGCTGCTGCCACCAGCTGCTGCCAGTATCTCTTGAACTGGCAAACAGCTGAGCCTGCCTGGGGCTGTGTAAGGGAAGGACTGTCAGGATTGTCCCTCAGTGCCCAGCTCTCATACACCAGGTGGCTCCAACACACCTCTTCAGGACATTGACAGAGAGAACACTTAGCTTCAGATGATTTTCCCAGAAACCTCAAATGCCATGGGGCTCTGTGTATACACTGAGTCAAACAGGTTAATGAGAGCTGAGGACTATGAAGTTAATTTAGAAATCCTTTCAGCAATATCAGCTCATGAAGTTTCCCCCACTGAAGCTGTCACAACCAGTCATGCCATCCCCATTTTGCAGAAGTCATGCACACTCGTGAGGATCAATGAGCCCTACTGTCACATGAGACACCTGGAGAGCTTTTGATGACTTGTCCAAAAGCACTGTCCCAAAGGACACCAATGGGGAATGCCTGGCAAGTCACTGAAGAAGCTATTCTCTTATTGTGGGTGTGACTCTGTCTGTTCTGACCTATTATATCTTTCTTTAGATTATTTTGTAAAATCACCTGCTTTTTCCTCCAGTTTTCTGCCTGTTTCTCTTGCATGCACCCTCTTGTATCTCTCTCACTCTTATGGGTGTGGTTGAGAATAAAGGAGGAGGCCCCATGCCCTCAGGGACAGGGGTACAC